ACACCTGTGGGGGGATCTGGAACTCGAGGAAGCCGACGAAGGCGCCGAATAGTATCACGTATACGCCGATGATGATGGACTGGCTGTTTTTTTATATCATTAGAAAAAGAGAATTGAAGGATGCTCGGTAGCGGGATTCGGAAACGGGGGGCACGGCACATACAGAAGAGTGTAGAAGAAGAACTGCGATATGCCTCCCAGTATCATGACCACACCTACGACGAGGTTGACGATCCGGCTATTTGGTAGCACGGTGTATGTTAGCGCATTGTCTTATTTTACATATTGTAAAATGTAGCTGCTTTAGAGCAGCGAGGCATTGACGTCGCAATGTGTGTGCGTAGCTTGACATCTAGGCATGTCGATAGATGTAGCTCGTAGCTGGCTGCGCATAGGGGCAAGACGTACAAGGAATCTGAAATCTCCATTTTGGCGATGATTTCGTCTTGACGATTATGTACTTTTTGGCCAGTACGTGCAATAGAGGAATGGAGGCAGGAAGGACGTTCTGGCTGTGAACTCAAGGACTGCCTTTTTGGTATATCTAGAGGTCTATCCAGCCTTATGTATGCTGTAAATCGTTTTGTCTACAGGACGCGTAGCTGTCGACCAGGCAGATGCTTTTCGGAGCTTCTCGTTCGTCGCAGGCTCGCAGCTAGCCGGTATTGTACTGTTGTACATATTTTATGGGGCCTTTGTCGTCATCCCAAGTGTTTTCGCGAGGTACAGGTCAAGCCACATCATGCAGCCCGATGGGGTCTTTGGCCAGCCACAGGATATTGCCACGCGTCTTTCCTCATTGGGCTGGAGATTGTACGTGCAATACCGCGTAAAGTACAGCAATATTCTGTACTGTACAAGTACAAACAGCGGGAGAAACCGGTACAAATAAGAAGCATATGAAAATCGCACCCAATCTCCGCCTCTTGATCATTCAGCTTCCTCCCATCCTTGAACAAAGTCTACATCAAAGGTCCCTCGTACCTCCTTCAGCCTGCACGCAAGTCACAGCAGAAACACACAGTAATCCGTCACTCTTCTCATCTTCGGCTGTGCTTTCACTCATTGCACAGTCATCACATACCATCCCCTCTTTCCAGTCACAGTACTTTATGCAACTAGAGCCCTCTCAAGCTTCGATAAAGACTCAACCACAAGCTTATCCCCCCTTTTCCAATTCTCCCGACCAACATGGCCCCCAGCACGATGCGAGTGGCTCAAGCCGCAGGCCCTTACACCGAGAAGCCAGCATGTCCGAGTCACTCCAGCCCATTCGCGACGGCGAGTCGTTCAGCTCTCACGGGCATGCTGTCGACCCCGACTCTCTCGAAGCACGATTACACCGACTGAGCGTTCGCGATCAGGCTAGTGGATCACCCGTGCCTGCTGGCCAACGTATATACGAGTATGAGAATGCATTGACGCCTTCTGTTCCGCGACAAGCTCTGGGCTTCAAGGTCATCAAGCGCGCTGATGGCGAGGTTGCCGGTATCAACCTTGCTGACTTTCCCAACGGTATGCCAACTTCAATATGATAAGCACGATCGAACGCACCAGGACCTAATATGCATAAACAGAGATCTTGACGCATATCTTGTCGCACTTGCACCCCGACTCGCACTCGTCCGTAGCTTTGGTGTCCAAACGCTTCTACGCTTTGGTCAATAATCCGCACACCTGGCGCATGGCCTTCCAGCGCTTCTTTCCCGCGCAGGATGCTCTGGTGGCTCGCCAGGTCTCGCATGGGCTTGCATGGGGTGAGGATGAAGACAATACCGTCCGGACCGACGTGCGGGTCTTCACACGCCTGACTCCACAGGCCTCTTGGCGTAGCGAATACCTGATGAGGACCCGGCTTCTCCGCAGTCTCTCTCGAGGCAAGCCTGGGGCGAACTCGGGTGGACTCGGCTCGTCGATACGCGCTAGCAACGGTGGCAAGAAAGCTACGGCGGTTCTGACCTACAACACGAAGGTGCCGTCCGTCATCACGCATCTCCATGCCACCTTCAAGCCCAACGGCAAGAAGCCACCCCGGGTTATCCATGGCGCTGCCGACCTTGGCGTCGGTAGTGCAAGTGATCCCTCGGTGGGCAAGGTCGAAAAATGGGGTCTCGATGACCCTTTCATGCTTGCTCAGGTAGATGATGTTATGCCAATGCTCATCCCTTACGGCATGGGAGAAGGGCCGGCGGCTGTTCCCAATGTCATGGATGTCAGTCAGCCTTATGGTCTTGTCGGAGGCGAGGGATTCCCCGGAGGGCGCGTGTTTTTTCGCCCGACTGGAGAATATAGGGGCAAGTACCTCGGACAAGAAGCCGGCTTTATCGAGGCTCATCCGGACATTCCCAGGGTTCCCGAGCTCTCCGAGGGCACCAGCTGTGTGTGGATTGCCAAATCGTCTTCCGTGCCTACTGTGACCCGGTCCCTGGTGGGTATCATGACTGGGTCGACTTTAGGCGTCGTGACTGCTTATGCTCTCGGCTATGACCCGTCGGGACCGCGATATGCCCCCGGCGAGATGACTGCCCGCTGGGCGCTTAGCCCGGGTGTTCCCATCATTGCTCTGAAGGTCGACGATAGTTACAGCCAAAAGCGTAAAGCTCAGAACCGCGTCTGGGCGGTTGCTCTTAACGCTCTTGGTGAAGTGTACTATACGACGCAACCTCCGATCCCACCTGCCACCAAGAGCAAAGCCGACAATGTCATCAAGCTGGCATGGCTCACTGGCCGCTCAACTTGCTGGCACCTGGTGGAAGCCACTCGGAGACAAGCACGCCCTGATGAGTCGGGAAGAAACGCTGTTCGCGGTACCTACTCGCCCAAGTCTCCTTCTACTGTTATGAACTTGACCAAGGAGCAAATGGTGGCCGAGGCGCGAGAGATCGAGAAGTTCCTCCGCTACAAGCCTGCGCATTTCCGAAAGGTGTGCTATGGCTGGGACATGCGGCGCAAGCTGGAGGTCGACTTTGCGGGAGATGATGGACTTGGCGCAGGGGAGAGTTTCTTCGTCATCGACTGCGGTTTGGATGAAGAGCAACCTTGGTCCCTGAAACGCTTCGCGCGGAAAATGGCGCCAAGTTCGACGACTCTGCAAACTTCGGAACTCTCTGCACCACAAGTCGTTCAACAGTCCATATTTGGTGGTGGTAGTGGCAGTGTCAGCTCTGCCACGGCCGGGTCGTCTACGTCGGCGCTGCTCAAGCAGGCCTTGTCGTCCTCAGCTAAGCAATCCGCTGCGTCGACTCCCAATCCCGTGGCACTGGGGCCCGATGACTGGGTGGAGACTACCTTCTCTTCCAAAGAGATAGGCAATGTCAGCATCACTGCGACTGCTGTCGACAATTCACTCATGGCATTGGTCACGTCGTTCGAAGATCCTCTAAGCGATGGTTCTACTTCAAGTCCCTCGGCTAGCGGCGCCGCCACCCCATCTGGACAAGCACCTACTGATATCCCGGGACGCAGAGCCAGGCTAATTGGTGTTGGTACCAATACCGGTAAAATGGTCCTGTGGAATATGCGAGCGCGTCACAACGGCGATGGCATCTCCCCAGTTCGCGTTATCCAGACCGAGTCCCCCGAGGTGACTAGCTTGGCGCTCTCGGCCCTTTACCTGGTCCATGGTGGAAGTGATGGGCTGGTTCAAGCCTGGGACCCCCTGGCGTCCACTCTTGATCCGGTCCGCACATTGAATGCCCGCTCGCCCGGCCGCATGCCGCGCCAACTTGTGACACTGAACCCAACTCTTGTCAATACGAACTTCTCTGCCGTGGGCGCCATCTACCTAGACCCCGATCCGGCTGTCCTCCACGGAATGGTGGCCTTTGGCACGATAGTGCGGTATTGGGCTTATAGTTCGTCGAACCAGGCACCTGGTCGCAAGCGGAAGCTTCGGCACTCTGAAGTCCACGGCCGTCTCGGTGGACGACGACACGGTGGTGGTGTTCAAGGTTACATCGCAGCCGAAGCGGAAGAGCTCCGTAACGAGCGCCGTCACCAGGCCCGAGAGGAAGCCCGTCTCCGTTCCCGGTTCGGTAGTGACATGACTGAGGAAGAAGCTCTTCAATACGCGGAGATGATATCCCAGGAGTCCTTCCTACTGGACGAGCAGCGGCGAGCAAGTGCTAGTGATACTACCTCTGCCGCCGACTTTGACATGACCTCGACAACGGGGAGTATGGATACCGTCACGCCCGACCCAAGCGTGACCGATCTGAGTCCACCGACTGCTGAACAGCTGGACGAGAGCGAGTACGAGCTCCAGATTCAAACGGCCATTCGACTGTCGTTGATGGAGGGCGTCAACGACCTCGGACGCTCCCCGAAAGCGAATGACTTGGGAGAATTCGACGGGCTTATCACCTTCAGAGAGAAGAGGAGTAAGAATTCGCCATCGTCCAGCCACACGCCTTTGGTCCATCGAGGCGATTCTTCTGCTTCTTCTTCTTCCTCCAGAGCTGCTCTACAACCAGAATTCGCTGTTGCGGATGATGACCTGGAATTGGCGTTGCAGCTGAGTTTGGCTGAGGAAGAGAGCAGAAAGGCGTTTGTTCAGTGTGAGACGAGTGAGGATGAATTCCCGCCGCTTGGGGGAGATGGGCAGGGGAAGGGGAAGGGGAGGGCTTGGTGAAGACGTTTTGTGGATGGAGGATAGGAGATGAGTTCACGCTTATGTTGAGTGGGCCTATTATTATTATAATTGCCTTTGCTGCTTAATTGATAGTTTACTTCTTTCCAACAATAAATCATTGACTGCCCTTTTGCTGAAAAGTTCTACGTGACGGGTTTACGATGGATGTTCTGATGAACTTATTTCAACTTGTCCATCCTCATTCTGTGCCCTGAATCAGTAGACCAAGGTTAGCTGCAGAAGTTGTATGTAACATCCACTCGGCCACTCGGACGACCCGGTCCTTGAGTTTGCAAACCCTAAACTAGTGTACGTTCTTTCGTTAAATGATAGGTTGACGTAACAAGCGGCTCTCCCATCAACCTAGCTTGGTCTGGTGGTCTAGTGGTATGATTCTCGCTTAGGGTACAAACTCTAAGTTTCTTTCTCTCGTTCTTTCTTCAAGCAAAAAAGGGAGATAAATAAAATATGCGAGAGGTCCCGGGTTCAATCCCCGGCCAGACCCTGTTTTTTTTTTTTTAATTTTGTGTCTTGGTTTCTTTTTTGGGGGGTCTTTGAGAAGATTTGCTTTATGTGTGTATACTCTGTTTGCTTGTGTGTTAGGTTTTGGGTTTTTGTTGAACTCCTGCGTTGCGCTTGCTTATCTTGTCTAGTCTACGTCCTTGTCCTTCCCTATTAATATATGCTTGTGTTTATCTACTACTATGTGCTGTTCTGCTGAGTACTTACTTACTTACCTACGGCTTTGACTTGTATTTATTTATTTATCTATGCAGAGATGGAGAGACTAGAAGAGGGAAGGGAGTAAGGAAAGAAGGGAGGGTGTATGTAAAAGGAAGTAAGGAAGTAAAATAAGAGAAGTAAGTAAGTCTAAGACTGTGTATATAGTCTCGGGTGGATGAAACCGAGGGCTGGAACTATTATATAGAGATAGATAGATAAGTAGGCAGGTTAAGTAGAACGCCAATGCAATCAATGTCTGTCTCAAGAAGCCCGAGAGAGACATGTTCGTTTCATAATTATTTTATTCTTGAATTGTTTTTAAACTGTGTATAGACTACTACCTACCTACTCTTCAGAGGAGATAGATAGAGAAGGCAGACAAACGTAAGTAAGTACTTTAGCGTCGCGGCTCATGGAACAGTGTGCAGTGCAGTGCAGTGCAGACTCACCCTATCTGCAGCCATGCCATGCCCTCTTCTTCTTGTACTGCTTGCTGTATTGGTGAGACTCTGAAACTGACAAGAGAAAAAGAAAGGACATCTACTTACTATCTTTTGCATGTATGGGAGGGAACCCAAGCAGGAAGGAAAAGCATGACAAGACCTGTCTTTGCTACGGCGGAAGAAAGAAAAAACTACCAAGGCCTAGAAAAGAAATATTGTATAAGGTGTTCATCTAACTAGTTTACTTAGTAAGTGTGCATGTCTATAAATGAGAAAGAACAAACCTGTGCACAGAAAATGTGAGATAAAGAAATCGCCACAGGAAAAGAAAAGTTCGGACTAGATGCCACCTGGATTAGGTACAGTGTCTCACACCATACAAACACATATATCTATGCTATCTGTAGTTAGTTGTTTACATTTTTCCATCCTTCTCGAATTCATACGAATACGATACAACGCAAATGTACCTACCTATACAAAGTGTCCTTATAATACATACTTACATACATCCATCCATCAAACCACCAACAACCATCCCAAAACGCCAACTACCCAAGCGACCAACCCCCGGCCGGGTCCCGGTCCCCTTGGAGCCGAGTTATTCTCCTCGCTCGTACCCGTATCCGTATCCGTATCCGTAGCAGTAGGCGGCGCAGGAGCCGTGGCCGAAGGCATCGCTACACTTGTTGAACCATCACTCCCAACACTACCACTACTACCGCCGCCGTGAGTAGGACTAGGCGTAATAACCGTCGTAGAAGCATCATACCCAGCCGACGAAGAAGAAAAAAGACCCCAGGTCCACGTCCACGTCCACGTCGAGATGGTCACGCCCTCGGGCCCTATCGTGATGGTCTCGCCACCTACGACCGTCGTCGTCACAGTAGTAGTAGTAGTAGTAGTAGTAGTAGTAGTAGTAGTAGTAGTAGTAGTAGCCGTTTTCTCTTCTCTTTGCCCAGTCGCCGTCGTCTGCTGTTGCTTCTCTACCGAGGGACTACTGAGCGTGTAAGTGACGCCTTCGATGGCGACGCCCGAGACGCCGACACGCGAGATGGTGGCGCCGCCCACGACGAAGTAGTCCGTGTCCGTGGCCACGGCGTCGGGACCGCCGTGCGTCTTGCCGTCTACGACGATGCCCGAGGGTCCGATTAGGATGGTGCTGTCGTCGATTATGGTCGTTATGGTCGCTCCAAGCAGTGTTGTTGCTGCTGCTGCTGCTGGTGGTTCGGGACTACTGGGTGGTGTAGGCGCGTAGTTGATAGTCGTCCCCTGTATGACTACCCTGTCCGACCCGATTGCAGTGACCAGCTCTGCGCCGAACACCACGCGCGTCGTGTCCAGATCGACCTGTTGCGTCTGTGGCGGTGGCGGTTGTGATGGTTGGGGGAATAGCAGCGTCTGAGAACCGGGAAACACGATCCCGCTCGGACCCATCGTGACGGTCTGCCCCTTGACCACCACGGGCGTAGACTCGGGCCCGACTGTGAAGGGTGTGCTGTCCATCGTCACGGTAGCGACGCTAGGTCCGTCCATACCGACGACTATGCCAGCGATCGTAGTTCTGATACTGGTAGGTGATGGCGCGACGCCTCCACTGCTATCTGCACCCACGCTGGGTAATCGTGACACCTTGGCGCCGGCGCCGTCGACTTCTGTCGGGTCAATGACGAAAGTGTTGCCATCCACGACCACTGTCGAAGTGGGATGCGCCGGGTCGTCGGCGAACGTCTTGTGGTTGATGACCACGTTGCTGGGCATCACGACAACCGTGATGGGAACATCCTGCGGCGACATCGGGGGTAGAGTCGGGATCGGCGCGGTCGCGGTGACGATGACGGCCGTTTTGACGTTCTGGTAATCGGGGGACGTGTTGCCATAGTCCGGTGCGGGCGCATTGCCACCGGACAAGGCCAAGCTGTGTACAAGGCCCGCGGGGTCAGGCGCTCCGCCGTAGTCCGGGGGCCGCGAAGTGGGAAACACGACGGCCGGGTTCTTGTCCGTCGTCAAAAAGGTGAGGGTCGTCTTTGTCGATTCGCCCGTCCGCAGCTCCGTCGTATCGGTGTGGAACCAGCCGGACAGCCCCCCTTCCTCGGTCGCCGTGGTCGGGGCGGCCGTCGTCTGCATGAGCGAACATGTCTTCCCCGAGCTGTTGTCACACATGGTGACGGTGGAAGTAGGCGTGCATAGGTTAGGGGTGCTGATGGTGGGGAAAGGCGGCGTGTAATCGACCGGGTCCCCTGCCCATGTTATCGTCCAGGTGTGGATGATAGAATAGGTGATGATGGTGCCGGACGGGCTGAAAGAGGTGGGCGTGCATGGATTTTCGGTAGATGACGACGTCCTTATCTGAGTGCTTGAAGGAGCGATCTCCAGCGACCCGGGGAGGAGTTGCGCAACAGTGCCCAGAGATGCGTCCAAAGATGAGGAGTTGGTGAAAATTCCTGTATTTGCTGTTGTGATGATAGAGGAGAATGTTGATTCCTCCAAGCTTGTCGAGTTGACCTGGCTACTTATCCTTGTGGTCCACGGCCTTGTGAGTGGTGGACTAAAGGGTTTTGTGATGCTGATTATGCACGTGTTTGGGAATATTGGTCCATAGCCGCCCTCCGTACCGAAACTTGACGGAAGAGTAGCTGTCTTGGACAAGAAGTCGTCAACGTTGCTCAGAGTTGGACCGTCTGAAGCTATTATAGCTGACGTTGTAGGCTGCGGCCATGATTGCGATTGTGAGGGTGCCGTCTCCGGCTTGGTGATAGTCGTGGAGACAGTAATTGGCACATGTCGAGCATCTGTAGTCGTCAAGTTACCTCTGACAGCTAGCCTGGGGAAATAAGGCTGGTTCCTGGCTCTCGGATCTAGAAGGAGTGAATTAGCAGAGATTAGGTAGAATCCTTCGATCGAATGCTCACTAACCTGCCCCGACACGCCATTCACCGGAAAACAAGAGCACCGCACACCATAGCGCTGCCTTGACTGCTGCTGTCATGGTCCGATGCCAGGTCGCTGGGGGTTCATGGCCATCCCATCTGACGTCGCAATCTCATTTCACCAAAAGACAAGGGACCAAGTTGGGAGGACACGATGCTCGAGAGAGAGGGGGAGAGAGACAGAGAGAGAGAGACGCAGAGACAAAGGTGTAAGTCAAGTTGTGCCACTCCGGATGGTGTTAACCTAGGGAAGACGCGCTACCATCCGGGCGGGAATCATGTCGTCTTAATTGTGGAGCAGGCAATGTTTAGTACAAGATTTTAAGATTGATGAACAAGATTTCGGAACAAGCTTGTGTTTTAGTACGGAGTACGGAGTACAAGCAGGACTTTGTCGACCTGCCTAGCTTCACCCTGTTACCGCATTGGCGCCGGCCCCTAATAAACTTTAGGTAGTTCGGGAACCATGTGAATGCTTGGGTCCTAATAGGCGTGCTTTAGAATGCATAAGATCGGCTCTACAACACAAGCAGCATCTGGATGCGTATGTGCTCTCCGGCACCGTCATATTATATATACGGGGGGACGTGAGAGAGGTATATGCCGGGTAATAGGTACAACATACATCCGGCTGTACTACAGCACGACTAGGGATGTTAAAGATTTAGTACAGTTGTACTGTAAATTAAAATTCGGATTATGTTGTTGTAGGGAGATGCAGAGAGTATACAAAAACACCAATCCACCTATTTCAGCAATTGCTTATCACCCTCTCCGGCCTGGCCAAAATGTGCTTTTTTGTCTCGAAACATCAAAGTTCTCGTTAAAGCAAGAGAACTCTCAAATCTGAGACCCGACATAGGGCTCCTGACGCCCGTCGTGGTCGGAATTCGAACCCCTCTGTCATCTGCATCTAAACTGATGCGGCCTCGAGAACCCTTCTTAGCCCTACTGGATATTCGGCTCGATATTACCATTTCCTAGCTCCTCCTGATCCTCTGCATCTGTTGCACCCATCTATGTTTTTCTCCTTGCAGATGATAGCCACGCAACCATAGTCGTAGTTCTGGAATCCATCGAAATGGTAGCATTGCTTTGGGTAATCCAGCACCAGGTGGGCAATGTCCGACACGTAAAGGCTGAGCTCGTACAGATATCCATGCAGGACAGACTCTGTGTTGAATGTCAGGGCCTCCATGAGATAACGGGTAACGGACTGGTGGTAAAGGTTGCGGATCAGTTCGTCACAAACAATCAGTGAGTGCTATCTCTTAGCATTCCTTTCCCGACTGGGGAATGATCCCAAGCTCTGTATGCTGTGTTGGCTGGTTGAAGGAGTTTCATAGCTCAACGCAGACTCCTGGCGGCTAGAGTTCAGCTAACCAAGTTCTAGTCGTTGTCATTTGGTT